ATCCCACCATGAGCCCTTATGTAGGTCTTGGCTTTGATGACTTAGTTGAGTGAAAGAGTTGAATAAAAAGGAACATAAAGGCTGTTGTTACTTGCAAACACAGACACTGATAAAGCCAAACCTTTGGACCTGATCTGCCAGAAGAGCAAGGAAATCCTCAGGTCCCAATAAATTCAGTGGAGTTGAGGGCACTCAGCACCTCATAGGATGCAGGAAATATGCAGCCCAATCCCTTCCCATGCAGTTGGATCACTACACATGAGCAACACTTTAGAGAAACTGCAAGACACGTCACCTCGTTGCTTGCTTCAGACCCTCTGAACATTGGAAGGAAACACGAAGTATATTCATCTACTTAAATCACAGCTTTAATAGAGGAATGGTACTGTTGACCCTTACTACCTTGAGCTTTAACATTCGGGTGAGTCCTGTTCTCTGCACACAGGAGAATCTGCGGAGCACTGACTGACTCTCTACACGCAGTTAGCACCATTTCATCCTCTGAATACTCCCTGACTGCTTGCGAAGTCTCCAACACAGCCTTCTGAGTAGCTAGTTGCTGGTTTAACAGTAGAGAAGCAGCTGCAGAGGGAACATTTCCTGGCAGTTCTCCTTGTTCTGGGCTCTGCTCCAAAACTGGGCTGCATGTTAAACACACACAAAAAATTAAGTTAGTTGTCAATAATGAACTGGCCTTCCTGATGGCCGCAAAAGATAAAGCCATTTTGAGCAATAAGCCTGTTTGCACTCTTTTGCCCCAATATCATGTACCTGTATGTATTTAACTTAATCTCACTGCATTTTGTATGGGCCAGAAACATTTTATGTGGAACAAATCCTGACACTTCAGGGCTTGAGACAACTACTTGGCTGCCAAGAGTTCAAGAGAACTTTTACCGCTTGCAGGTCCCCCATGTATTCTGATTCTGCAGCCACAGAGTTGTGTTCCAGAATCTCTACTTCCATTTAAAACAAACGAGAATCACTTGGTCAGACAAAGCCACCCTCAGACAAACTCCCAGACAGTGAAGGACAGCACAGTCATACTGAAGGAGGAAAAAAAAAAAAAGCAAGAGCTTATGGAAGATGTTCCTCTACCATCCACAGCTTCCCCATATAGCTATTTGGGATACTGCTGTTGTGTGGAATCCATTATTAAATGCCCAAAAGGGCATTAATATAGAGCTGAAATTTTGCCTAGTGCTGCCTCATGTCCTTCTAGTACATTCCAGGTAAAAAGCCAAGGCTTCCGGATGTCCAAAGTGTGTAGACACCTCTCTTCTGCCATCTCGTGGGGCTTAGGAGAGAACGCAGGGAGGAATGTGTCCTGCTTCATAAGGAAGGAGGAAATGGTCTTTGGCAAGAAGGTCAGCTGGGGTTGCAGTTGGACCTTCTACTTGTAGAAGAGGAGACTCCGAAGTCAGCGCCCTGATCTCAGAGATACATCCTGCCCACATCTCTGCCACTAGAAACGCCATCTTCCATGACAAACAAGATCAGAATGTCGCCCTTTGCCATTAAGATTATTTTTAGTGTAAGATTTAAGAATATCTGAATTAGTCTTTTATAGTGGAGGGGTTTGTAATAATTACCTTTTAGTCTTAGAATGTTCTGTTGCCTCTACAAAATAAACTGTCATTCTTGTTTGTGTGAGGAAAAGATAGGCCTGAGGGCCACCCCTGCCTCCAGAGGGCCGAAAAAGGAGACAGAACTCAGGGGTGGCAAAGGACTATCAAAATGTGGCCATTGTGCCTGATGACTATTTAGGAGCAGACTGATGACCCTGAAGCTAAAGCAAGCACCCCCAAAGGGAACGATAAAAACCAACCAAAGCCAGAATGTGACAACACCCAGAGTCACCAAGAGGCTGATGCAGACTGACAATTAAACCAATCTTGAAATAACCACTTGCTACAAATAACTGATTACAACATGATACAACAAAACTCAGAGACCTGTACGAGAAGGAGCGCCTGCAATAGATGGATGTCTTGCCACGGAACATCAGTTTCCATCCTGCAAAGCCTCTGACCAAGAACGACAGACCCTGGCTCTTCCACTCAAGCCCACTCTAAGTGGCCAGTAGATTAGTCCAAGCTACATACTGGCACTTAGAACTGTGTTGGCAGGACTAGGGTGTATGCACGCATGTTGCTTTTTATGTTGTATCTCAATAATCATGGCATATTGTCCTATCCCCTAAAAAAAGATTCCATGTGCTTCTTATAAGCATAACAATTTTGCTCCTGTACGGGCAGGACCACTATGGCAGGTGCTGTGGAGCTTACCACATTACACAGTGTACCTGCTGGTTCCTTGAGCTCCTCAGCCTGCAACCCCATGCTAGAGGAGGCCCTTTTCAGGAGCTCCTGGTGCACCTCCACATCCCCCCCTGACGCCAGGCAGGGGGAGGGGTTCACAATGTCCTCCCCAGATGAGGCCAAGGATGCCAGTGCTGCGAGCTATGCCCTTTTCTTCTGTGGCACAGACTGGTGGCTCGCTGGAGCCCCTTGAGATGGGGCTGATTCTCTCTCAGGGACTTGCACCTGCTTGGGGAGACAAGCCCCTGAGATGGATGGCCTTTCTGAAGCTCCCCAAACTGAACAGGCAGTCTGAGAAGATTGTGTGAACCCCTGTGGGTTCCAGGGAAACCAGGGCACCCACCAATGCCCCAGAGGCTGCAGCATCATGGGTAGGGGCAGCAACACCAGTGTTGGGGCTTGTCCCAGCAGCAGGGAGCCCTGTTTGGGGCTGGCTTCCAATGCCTGGCAGCGAGAGCGATGGGCCTGCAAGGAGCTGTCCAAGCAGAGCGAGTCCTTGCCTTGGGCCCTCGGAGAGCGGCATGGGCTGGTGGACTAGCGACACGAATGCAGTGATCAATGCCTTGCAACGCTCACTCGGTGTCAGAACCTAGAACGGGAGCGGTACCCTGAATGGGTCCTACAGCTGAATGCCCTGAGACCAGGATGACCAATGGGACAGAGACTAGTGTATCCAGGACACTACTAACTAATATCTAGAAACTACTGGGAACGGTTTCAAAGGGGCAGCGTCGCATGGAGCCCGGGATCAGCTGTGCGGCGCTGCCCTTTTGAAATGCCTACACGGTATTTCAAAGCAGCAGCGCCGCACAGAGTCAGTGCAGTGCTGCCGCTTTGAAGTACCCCCTGGTCTCGCCCCCCTTTGCTGCCTCTATCTGATAGAGTCAGCAAGAGGGGAGGGGAAGGGGAAGCAACAGGAGTGATGTAACTTGTTTGTACCTATATATAAAATGGTGTCTTGGGGGGGACAGTCTTTGTCCAGCCAGGTTGCAGGGGGAGTACCCCACTGGTTGAACTTAGTCCATAGTTATGAGTACGGGCGCGTAGTGATTCGGTAGACTCTACTGACAACTGTGACTGCACTTGGCTTAATAATAAATCTGGCCGGGAACCCTTGATCCTTATCTGATTTGTGGTCTTTGGGGGCTCTCTCGGGGTCTGCGGTAGCAAACTAATTGTGTAAATCAACACAGTCCACATTAGTGAACACACATGCAAGCAGCCTTCTGGCTATCATTGGCGATGGAGCCGGAGACCTCTCCGGACACAACAGCAATAAATTCTGACCCGACTACAGCAGGTGTGCACAAAAAGAAATATTGTAAGCACGGGATTTGGATAACATGATTTTAGGGAAGCTCTATCTCTTAGGACCTATGCTTAACTAATCCTACGCAGACCGCTCATGAGGAACAGCAACATTTTGAGACAATCTGAGTAACCAAATAGATTCTGGAGCATGTAGAAAAAAGACATTTGTTAGACAACATGTGTCCTTTAAGTAGTTAAGAGGTACCAAACCTGCTGTAATTGAAGAAGTTTCATATAGGCATTTGAAATCTCAAACATCAGAAAGAGTCACACTGTACCTTAGCTTCCTGGTTTTGGCTGCCTGCATGTACTGCTCCTCAGAAGAATCTAGAACCATCATACCATCACTGCCGTGGACTGCATTTTCTGAATAAAAGTGCATAACAAAATTAGTCCCACAGCTGAAGTGCAGTTTGTGAACTATAAGCAGTTACAATAAAATCCAGTACAACTCAGCACAAACACTTGCTATGGATTGTGAACTATAAGCAATTACAATAAAATCCAGTACAACTCAGCACAAACACTTGCTATGGATTGCGAGACTAGTTAGCAAGAAATTCACTGGAGATTTTAGTAACTTCTGGGGCCAAAGTATTGGAATATATTACCGCAATCCATTTTTTCCCCCTCGACTTCAATGAGTTCTGAGCAAAAAGCCCCTCTGAAAGTCAAGTCATCCATTTCCATAATTATCGTTAGCTCTCCAGGATTGATGATTGAGGCCTACATGCACTAGAAGTCATTTTAAATGTTGCTGAGGACAGCATCAAGGCTCAGAATGCAGACTGCACACTGAATCAGGGACGCTTTTCAGATAGGCACAAAACCCATTTTGAACAGTATTCTGCTTCTGCTCCTGCAATAACAAGTATAAGCACAGGGGGAGTTAATAATTTTCTTCATTCCCAACATTAAAAAGTGAGAGGAACACTTCTGTATTATTTAGCCCAGAAAGTTAACTGCAAATGTTTTCTACCACTCAACACTGAGGTTAATATCCTTCCGGGAGGTGTTTTTAGACTTTTTCTACATGTATGTTGACCCCCAAATCACATCTAAAAGCAGATATTGAGGGAACAAAGAAGGGAAGTTAGCATCTGAACGGGCAGGTGGGGGGTAGAAACAGGATTCTTAGCTGCATTTCCAAAAGTATTTTGTTCAAATGTAAACGTGACTCCGAATTTATTGGCTTGCTAATGATTTTAGTAAATACAAGCGCTAAGATTTTTACCTTGAAGTTACTGACATGCTCTCACTTATTGTTTGTACAGAGTTCTCAACCCAAAGAACCTTAATTTCAATGTAAAGATAACAACAGAACAGAGTGGAGAGACATGTGGGGAAAGAACAACAGCAGCTTGTATTTCCTTTGGTATAGTTGTGTGTACAGTTAGCAGCTGTGTGTTGTTAAAGAGGCATACGATCAGTGGCAACAGGCTCAGCTCGCTGCCTTCCTACTCAAAGTCAGTTGCCAGTACTATAAGCACTCTGGTAAGAGCAGTTCTTAATAAGTGATTTGTGGTAGCTTTATCATAGAATCATAGAACATTAGACTGGAAGGGACCTCGAGAGGTCATCCAGTCCTGTCCCCTAACCTCACGGCAGGACCAAGCACCATCTAGATCCTCCCTGACAGGTGCCTGTCCAACCTGCTCTTAAATATCTCCAGTGATGGAGAATCCACAACCTCCCCGGGCAATTTATTCCAGTGTTTAACCACCCTGACAGGTAGGAAGTTTTTCCTAGTGTCCAACCTAAATCTCCCTTGCTGCAGTTTAAGCCCATTGTTTCTTGTCCTGTCCTCAGAGGCCAAGGAGAACAATTTTTCTCCCTCCTCCTTGCAACACCCTTTTAGATACTTGAAAGCTGCTATCATGTCCCCTCTGGGTCTTTTCCTTTCCAAACTAAACAAACCCAATTCTTTCACTCTTCCCTCACAGCTCATGTTCTCTAGAACGTAAGAATGGACATATTGGGTCAGACCAAAAGTCCATCTAGCCCAGTATCCTGTCTGCCGACAATGGCCAATACCAGATGCCCCAGAGGGAGGGATCACAACAGGGAATCCTCATGTGATCCCTCCCCTGTCACCCACCTCCAGACAAACACAGGCTAGGGACTCCATTCCTACCCATCCCATCTAATAGCCATTGATGGACCTAACCTCCATTAATCTATCTCACTCTTTTTTTAATCCTGTTAAAGTTCTAGTCTTCACATCCTCTGGCAAGGAGTTCCACAGGTTGACTGTGTGCTGAATGAAGAAAAACTTCCTTTTGTTTGTTTTAAACCTGCTGCCTATTCATTTCATTTCATGACCCCCCTAGTTTTTATATTATGGGAATAAATAAGTAACTTTCCCTTATTCACTTTTTCCAAACCAGTCATGATTTTATAGACTTCTTTCTTATCCCACCCTTAGTCTCCTCTTTTCTAAGCTGAAAAGTCCCAGTCTTTTATCTCTCTTCATATGGGACCCATTCCAAACCCCTAATCACTTTTGCTGCCCTTTTGTGAACCTTTTCCAATGCCAATATATATTTTTTGAGATGAGGCGACCACATCTGTACAGAGTATTCAAGATGTGGGCGTAACATGGTTTTATATAGAGGCAATAAGATATTTTCTGGTTGAAATTATTGATGTTTTTATATCATATGTTTATTTTTACAGGGGGAAGAAGAAGGCCAAAGACCTGGATGTGAATGTGAGGTAAATGGGCAAAAGCTGGAGAGAATTAGAAAAGGTGGCACAAGACAGAGAGGCTTGGAAAGAAATTGTTGGTGGGCTATCCTCCCATAGGAGCTAAGGGCAAAGAAGATATTTTCTGTCTTATTCTCTATCCCTTTGCTAATGACTTCTAACATTCTATTTGCTTTTTTGACTGCCACTGCACACTGAGTGGATGTTTTCAGAGAACTATCCACAATGACTCCAAGATCTTTCTCTTGAGTAGTTGTAGCTCAATTATCCATCCTCATATTGTGTATATATAGTTGGGATTATTGTTTCCAATGTGCATTATTTTACATTTATCAACATTAAAATTCATTTGCCATTTTGTTGCCCAATTACTTAGTTTGGTGAGACCTTTTGGAAGCTCTTCACAGTCTGCTTTGGTCTTAACTATCTTGAACAGTTCGGTATCATCTGCACATTTTGCCACCTCGCTGTTTACCTCTTTCTCTAGATCATTTATAAATAAGTTGAATAGGATGGGTCCCAGGACATCTCCTTGGGGGGATCCCACTAGTTACCTCTCTCCATTGAAAAAATGTATTATTTTTTCCTATCCTTTGATTCCTGTCTTTTAACCAGTTATCAATCCATGAAAGGACCTTCCCTTATCCCATGACAACTTACTTCACTTAAGAGCCTTTGGTGAGGGACCTTGTCAAAGGCTTTCTGGAAATCTAAGTATACTATATCCACTGGATCCCCTTTGTCCTCATGTTTATTGACCCCTTTAAAGAACTCTAGCAGATTAGTAAGGCATGTACAGAAACCATGTTTCCCTGTATAGAAACCATGTTGACTTTCCTCCAACAAATTATATTCATCCATGTATCTGACAATTTTATTCTTCACTAATTTGCCCGGTACTGACATTGGACAACATTTGAATGTAAACAAATTATATACATTATATAGAATACACTCAGTTTTTAATACATGCTGTGTGTGTGTATGGCATTATTGTTTTTCTTTGAGAGAGACCCTGTGATGAGTTCCATGACCTAATTATCTTTCTGAAAGAACTGTGAAGTCATCATGTGGAAGACAAGAAAACTGCTGGAGCTGAGAGATGGGAATGTAAGAATAACCTTTTTATCAGTTTGGTGTTTTATTTCTGTTTTAGTATCGTTCAAGGAAGAGTATAGGGATATAAAGTAAAATGGTAATGTGTCCTTAACCCATGTGGTCTTTAAATACAGTACAACCTGTAAAAATGAATGTTGTCTATCACATAAACCAAATCCCAAAACACTTTAAAGTTAAATAAATCTGCTATAAAGTTAAAGCAGAGAGAGCAAGACTAAGATATGTACATACAAATCAATAAAAATGTTTTCCAATGAGACTTGCAAACAGATGGCAGGTTCATGAGAGAGAAATGCAAGAAGGCAGTTCCTAAAAGCAGGATCTATAGCTCTTGCACCAACCATAAGGAAACTGTGAAGGTAGTAAGCAAAACAAAGTGATCTGGGAGAGAGATAAAGAGTTATATGGCCTATATAATGGTCTCGAGCTCTGACATTGTAATTGAGAGTTTTACCTGTATTGGTTCCACATTCATGTCAGGATTCATCTGAGGATAAAATTATATGCTCATATTTCTGTGAGAGAGAGTCATGGAGTATCAGACCTTCTGAGGCCCCTTGCTGAGCCCGTGAGGCCCTAACCTAGTCTACCCCACCACACAAAAAGGAGTCCAGAGATGAATACTACAAGCTGCTTAGACCTCCGTCTCCCCCGGGTCTGCTGCGGCCCCCGCCCCCCCAGAAGACCAGGGAGATGCGGAGCAAAGCCGCGGAGGACCCCACGGGACTGCGGCGCATCTGGGCGGTCCCGCCGCCCGGGTCCTCCACAGCTTTGCTCTGCGTCTCCCTGGTCTGCTGGGGGGCTCCCCCCCCCAGCAGACCAGGGAGATGCGGAGCAGCTTTTCTTGCCCCAGAGGACATGGGTGGCGGGACCGCAACGCATCTGGGCGTCCCGCCGCTCCCATCCCCCCAGCAGACCAGGGAACTAATTTGCCTGGTACTGACGTTAGACTTACCGATCTGTAATTGCCAGGATCACCTCTAAAGCCCCTTTTAAAAATTGGTGTCTTGTGAGCTTTCTTCCCATCATTAGGCATGGAAGCCGATTTAAAGGATAGGTTACAAACCACAGTTAATAGTTCTGCCATTTCCCATTTGAGTTCTTTCAGAATTCTTGGGTCAATGCCATTTGGCCCTGGTGACTTGTTACTGTTAAGTTTATCAATTTGTTCCAAAACTTCCTCTAATGACACTGCAATCTGGGACAATTCCTCAGGTTTGTCACCTAAAAGGAATGGTTCAGGAATCTCCCCAATATGTTCAGCTGTAAAGACTGAAACAAATAATTCATTTAGCTTCTCCACTATGACCTTATCATCTTTGAGTGCTCCTTTAGCTTCTTGATCGTCCAAGGGCCCCACAGGTTGTTTAGCTGGCTTCTTGCTTCTGATGTACTTAAAAAACATTTTACTGTTACTTTTTGGCTGTGTCTACACTGGCAGGAATTTCCGGAAATGCTTAAAACGGAATACTATTCCGTTTTCAGTTTTTCCGGAAAAGGAGCATCTACATTGGCAGGCTGCTTCTCCTGTACAAAACCAGCCGCTATTCCAGAAAAACTATTCTGCTCCTGCTCGGACATAAGTCCTTATTCTGGAAC